GGGACCACGGGAGGCTGGCCAGCTGTGGGAGGTTGGCTGTGGGAGCACGCTGACCACCAGGGAGCAGCTCCTGCTTTGAGTATCTGCCCCCTGGTGGTCAGTGCACAGCCTAGCGACCGGTCGTTTGTTCGACCGGTCGTTCACTTAGGCTTTTATATATAGAGATTCTTACAATATATTCCTAACCTGTTTTGATCATCTCTTTGGAGATCCAAAATAAGAGACTACTTACTAGTAAATGGAACAATAGGTAATTCATCAATTACCTTTTACAATTGTAGATGCTAAGGGTTGTACCAGGTAAAATAAGGCATGGTCTCTATCTTCAAGTAATTTACAGTTTGGTGGCAGAGGGGAACTACCCAGATGAAATGGTAACAGTAATTGTTCTATTTATAGTCATAAACAGTAACTGTTCTACTTTTAGATTGGAAAGATGAGCTGTTAGAGCTACAAGTTACAAATGTCACACTAAATCACAAAGATATTTTGCAAACTGTAAGTTTTTTTAGTTTTGTTTTTAAGTGTGACAGAAACTGGAGCAAATCACATCTGAGATCATAGCTTTTCTAAATGGTTGGAATTATCTAAGGAAAAAAAAATATACCTGAGATTTTTGTCTTTGGCCTTCGACTGCTGGGAAGAGCTCCATCCAGAGACTGAGCAGGGTAAAAAGGTTGACTTTAGAAAGCCTTGGTATTTGACCTACAAAAGAGAGGGCAGGCACTTTAAAATGTTGCTGATGAAAATATGAACTAAGCTCAATGCCACTGGGGTGCTTGAAGCTTTATCTCAACTGCTTTAGCGGGAGGAAAGGAAAAAATAAGAGGACACGAGAATCCAAGTGGTTTCTTAGCAGGAAACCGGCCACCATCTCACTTGAGGTGACCTCCTCCAGCACTTTCCAAAGTTGGGGCCTCATTCTCCAGCCCTCACTCAGCTGGGGGCGGGGGTGTGAGCTATGGGAACAAGCCAAAGGGAGTTATGGAAAGTCCTTGCATCTAATGTCATCGCGGAGCAAGCTTTTCTTTGGACTGTGGCGTTGCAGCAAGGGCAGTGGTTACAACCTGGTACTGAAAACGCGGTGACCTTTGAGGGTAAAGCAGTTGAAGCAGTGGTTCTCAACCTTCTGGCCCTTTAAATACAGTTCCTCAGGTTGTGACCCAACCATAAAATTATTTTCGTTGCTACTTCATAACGGTAATGTTGCTACTGTTATGAATCGTAATGTAAATATCTGATATGCAGGATGGTCTTAGGCGACCCCTGTGAAAGGGTCGTTCCGCCACCAAAGGGGTCGCGACCCACAGGTTGAGAACCGCTGATAGGAAACCGTGACGTGGTTAATTTGGAAATCAAGTCAAAAGCGCGGCTCGGGGAATTCCCAGGCTCCTCAGGCCCGGAGATCCCAGCCCCGGGCACAGGGAGGAAATAACGGAGGGAGGGAGGGAGGGAGGCGAGCGCGCGACTTCCGAAGCGGATGCAGCCAGGCCGGGGATCCCGCCGACCAAGCAGGGGCCGCCAGGAGGCACCAGACGTCCAGGGGCAGAACTGCAGCGACAGGAGGGCAGGGACCTGGAGCCGAGCGGCCGCAGCCACAGCCGG